AAGTATACCAGTTCAGACAAGGAATCTTTATATATTTGGTTCGCATTATTTTGATCCTGTCTCATCTCAACTGAACATGTAAATTTTTTTAGCACTTACATATACTCTTGTGCTTGTTTTATTTAATTCACTAATTAATTAACTTTTAGAGCTAGGATCTTGCTTTGTCACCCAGGCTAGAGTGCAGATCATAGCTTATTGTAGCCTGAAACCCCAGGGCTCAAGCAATCCTCTCCTCCTGATTAGCTAGGACAAGAGGCATGTGTTACCACGCCCCGCCAATTTTTTAAAGAATTTTTGTAGGGATGGGGTCTCAATCTTGCCACGGCTGGTCTCAAACTGCTGGCCTCAAATGATTCTCCTGCCTTGGCCTCTCAAAGTGCTGGGATTACAGGCATGAGCCACACAGCACCTGGCCAGAGTTATTTTAGATTATGTAAATTAGTAGTTAAAACTAAGTCATAGAGAATCTCTCCATAACAGAAAGCATATATTAAAATATAAAATTTGTAAAGGCTAAAACACTGACTAAACCCTTTCCTATTATAGTGGTAAATGAATCAAATATGAAATTATATAAAATAATAGCATTTTTCACTCCTAAGGATAAAAATTCTAGTTAATTTGTCAAAATCTGTTCTAAACCCTCTCCATAAATTATATTAAAGTGTGCTAAAGCAATTTGCCAAGGATTTTGTTTGAATACCCAATTCAAATTTACATAAGTAACTTCAACTCAATATTTTACATTTAAAAGCTGTAGAAGAAAGTGGAGAGAAACTGTGGCTTAAATGTTTTAATCTTAACCCTTATGAAAAAGTACCTAAGGATGCCTAACTATAAGATAGTCTTTTATACTCAGTTTTTAAATGTTAAATTATTTTAGTTAGATCTTATTTTGTATTTTTGTAATATATAAAAAAATGTTTTTTGAGACAGGGTCTTGCTCTGTCACCCAGGCGGGAGTGCAGTGGCACAATCACAGGTTACTGCAGCCTCAACCTCCCAGGCTCAAGTGACCCTCCCACCTCAGCCTCCCACGTAGTCAGGACTATAGGTACACATTACCATGCCTGGCTAATTCCTTTGGTGCTTTTGGTAGAGATGGGGTTTTACCATGTTACCTAGGCTGGTCTTGAACTCCTGAGCTCAGGCAATCCACCTGCTTCAGCCTCCCAAAGTGCTAGGATTACAGGTGTGAGCCACCGTACCCAGCCCCCAAAATCTTAATTACCCTTATTAATGGCATGCAGCAGAGGCCTACGTAATACAAATAAGAGCATTTTAATGTTCAATATCAAACACACAAAATCAACCAGAAAATCATTCAATTAAAATATATATATACACACACATAAAAAAGAACAAAATCATGTCTTTGCAGCCACATAAATGTAGCTAGAGGCCATTATCCTAAGTGAATTAATGTAGAAACAAAATCAAATACCACATGTTCTTACTTATAAGTGGAAGCTAAACATTGGGTACACATGGACATAAAGATGGAAACAAGAGACACTGAGGACTCCAAACAAGGGGACACAGGGAGGAGGGCAAGGGTTGAAAAACTACCTATCAGGTACTAAGTTCACTATTTGGGTGACAGGTTAAATTGAAGTCCAAAGCTCAGCATTACACTATATCCATGTCACAAACCTGCACATGTACACCCCGAATCTAAAATAATCATTACACTATATATCCACGTCACAGACCTGCACATGTATACCCCGAATCTAAAATAATCATTACACTATATATCCATGTCACAGACCTGCACATGTACACCCCGAATCTAAAATAATCATTACACTATATATCCATGTCACAGACCTGCACATGTACACCCCGAATCTAAAATAATCATTACACTATATATCCACGTCACAGACCTGCACATGTATACCCCGAATCTAAAATAATCATTACACTATATATCCATGTCACAGACCTGCACATGTATACCCCGAATCTAAAATAATCATTACACTATATATCCATGTCACAGACCTGCACATGTACACCCCGAATCTAAAATAATCATTACACTATATATCCATGTCACAGACCTGCACATGTACACCCCGAATCTAAAATAATCATTACAAAAAGGAATTATGGATCACCATGTTAGCTATATACCTAAGGGGCAGTGTGGCCCCACTAACTATGTTACATGATCATATTCTTTTTTGGTGGTGTGGTGGAGAGACAGAGTCTTGCTCTGTTACTCAGACAAGAGTGTGGTGGAGTGATCTTGACTCACTGCAATCTCCACCTTCTGGGCTCAAACAATCCTCCCACCTCAGTTTCCCGAGTAACTGGGACTTCAGGCATGCACCACTATGCCTGGCTAATTTTTATATTTTTTGTAGAGATGAGGTCTCACTATGTTGCCCAAGCTGGTCTCGAACTCTTGGCCTCAAGCAATCCTCCTACCTTGGCCTCCCCAAGTGCTGGGATTACACGTGTGAGCCACTGTGCCTGGCCGTAACATGTATTCTTTTTGAAAGACAATTTATGTACTTAATTGATTTATTTGCTGGATGTTGTTCTGTAAGCTCCTGAAGCGGAGGAGCTACGTCAGCTTAGCTCTACTATGTGGTACAGTATGTGGCATGTAGTGTTTGCTCAATAAATATTTACAAATGTATGGCAAACAAAACAAAAAATACACATATAGGTAAGCAATCTAATAACAATTTACTGTTACAGTTTTAATATTTTAAAAGCAACATATTAAATAATGACAATGTGACAGATTACCACTGACTAAATAAGAATCCATGAGTGCATACTGGTATGAATAAATAAATAAGAGAGAAGAGAAAGCACTTTTTTTGAAATGGAGTCTCACTCAGTTGTCCAGGCTGCATTGGTGTGATCTTGGCTCACTGCAACCTCCACCTCCTGGATTCTCCTGCCTCAGCCTCCCAAGTAGCTGAGACTACAGGTGCATGCCACCTGTAGCTAATTTTTTTTTAATTTTTAGTAGAAATAGGGTTTTGCCATGTTGCCCAGGCTGGTCTCAAACTCGGCCTCAAGTGATCCACCCACTTCCCAAAGTGCTGGGATTACAAGCCTGAGCCACCATGCCCAGCCTGCACTTTCTTATAATAGAATGCCAACTAATAAGCATAGAATGGAGGATAGAATTCAAAAATCACCATTTGACAACCATCACTGTAATAACGGATTCAGTCATGAATCATCGATAGATGCTAAAACTAGTAGAAAGTTTGATGAGAAACAGGATTTTTACATCATCTCAAATTACCTCCTCCAAATATACTTCTTATAAAGAAAAAACGGTAACTTGACAATAACCTGACAGGCACCACCTCAAAAAGTGATTAAATTACCATCAGCAATAACGTGACAAACTGATGTCATGTGACTTCTGGTAGACATGACAAGTAAATGCAATGTGGAATCATGGATTAGATCCTGGACCAGAAAAAAAAAGTTTTTCTCCTCTTTTGCTATAAAGGACATTATTAGAAACTGGCACGATTTGAGTAAGGTATGTAGATTTGATAACAGCATTGTATCTATGTTAATCTCCCAAATGTCCTTGCTGTTTATTTTTTTTCCTTTTTTGAGATGGAGTCTCACTGTGTTGCCCAGCCTAAAATGCAGTGGCACAGTCTTGGCTCATTGCAACCTCAACCTCCCGTGTTCAAGCGATTCTCCTGTCTGAGCCTCCCGTGTAGTTGGGATTATAGGCACCTGCCACCATGCCCAGCTAATTTTTGTATTTTTAGTAGAGAAAGGGTTGGTTTCACCATGTTGGCCATACTGGTCTCTAACTTCTGACCTCAGGTGATCCACCCACCTTGGCCTTCCAAAGTGTTGGGATTACAGGTGTGAGCCACTGCACCCAGCCCTGAATGTCCTTATTTTTAGAAAACACACATTTTATACAAAAAAATTAGCTGGGTGTGGTGGTGCATGCCGGTAGTCCTAGCTACTCGGGAGGCTGAGACAGGAGAATTGCCTGGACCCAGGAAGTGGAGATTGCAGTGAGCTGAGATTGCGCCACTGCACTACAGCCTGGGCGACAGTGTGAGACTCTGTCTCAAAAAAAAAAGAAAGAAAGAAAAGAAAATACACATTTTGATATTTATAGGTAAAGGGGTATCACGTCAACAACTTATTTCCAAATTGTTCAGAAACAAACAAGCACACATGTAGACAAATGTGTGCCTTGTAGACAAATTTGCCTACAAGACACATGTAGGCAAATGCGGTAAAATAACTTTAAGGGAATCTGGGTGAAGGGGTATGTGAATTCTTTGTACTACTCTTGCAACTTTTCTGGAAGTATAAAATTATTTCAAAATAGTATTAAAACAATTAAAACCTAATAAAATGTAAACAAAGCATTAGCTAAAACATAAGAAAAGGAATGGTTGAAGAGCAAATTATAGATGCCTATGGTGGGTACGGTTTTGGTTTAATTATTCATATGTTTGAAGAATTATTAATATTATTGCTGTCTTTTTTTTTTTGAGATGGAGTTTCACTCTTGTTGCCCACACTGGGGTGCAATGGTGCATTCTTGGCTTACTACAACCTCCGCCTCCCGGGTTCAAGTGATTCTCCTGCCTTAGCCACCTGAGTAGCTGAGATTACAGGCATGTGCCACCACACCCAGCTAATTTTGTATTTTTAGTAGAGACAGGGTTTCTCCATGTTGGTCAGGCTGGTCTTGAACTCCTGACCTCAGGTGATACACCTGCCTTGGCCTCCCAAAGTGCTGGGATTACAGGTGTTAGCCACCATGCCCGGCCCCTGCTGTCTTTCATCAAGGGGTCTTAGTGCACTTTATCGACATGTTTTACTTCCTTCACTTTATAGATGAGAAAACAGACATGTAGAAGAGCTCCCAAAATGTGGCAAGTTGATTTTGGAATGGAAACAAAGAAACTTTGACTTTTCATTAATAACGCAGTGTTAAGATGTGACACAGCTAGACACAGCAGAAGGCGTCCATTTACCTTGCTCTATTGTAAATCACTGGCTCATTTTCTTCCTGCACAGTGGTCAGCATATCCAAGTCATGGAATATTTTCTGCATATAGTCCAAATATTTACATCCTGAAGCTCTCTCTACTATGGCTGCCAGTAGGGTATAGCCAAAAGTTGAATACAAAAACTGACTACCTTGAGACATCATTGCAAGGAGGAAAAAAAGAAAATGCTTGATTATTATTCAAAGAAACATAAAATATATTCCCACTGAAAACTGGCATACCTTTAAAACTGGAATATTTTACTTCAGCATTTAGAAGAACACAGGCAATCTATCAACAGACTGAGTTAACTTTGCAATTGTCCTGATTCCAAGTTCTTAACACAAGAATACAATTATGACCAGCATACTTAAAATTTCACATAAATCTGCTCCTTTCTTTGATAATTAAGTAAGCAAATAAATACTACCTCAAAACAAAATAAAACAAAAGTCTTTCAGAGTGACAACACAACAGGAAGAGGAAGAAGAGCAAATTTGACTTATTGGGCCAACTTTGTTCTTAATCTACCTCTACTCATTGTTTAGGGCATAAATGGGCATACACATTCTTATTTTAATCAAATATATGGGCCAGGTGTGGTGGCTCTCATCTGTATCCTAGCACTTTGGGAGGCCAAGGCGGGTGGATCACGAGGTCAGAAGTTGGAGACCAGCCTGGCCAACAAGGTGAAACCCTGTCTCTACTAAAATGCAAAAATTAGCTGGGTGTGATGGCGGGGGCCTGTAATCCCAGCTATATGGGAGGGTGAAGCAGGAGAACTGCTTGAACCCAAGATGCGGAGGTGGCAGTGAGCCGAGATGGCACCACTGCATTCCAGCCTGGGCGACAGAGCCAGACTCCATCTCAAAAACAAATAAATAAATAAATAAAACAAAATACATAAATGTAGACATACAAACCTTGTTTCAAATACATATTTAAATTTAAATACATATTAAAAGTTACATAGTATTTCAAATAAGTAACTTTATATCATTTTGGGTTCTGGACAAACTCAAACTGGTTTGAGACAGGGTCTTCCTCTTGCTGTTGCCCAGGCTAGAGTACAATGGTATAATCATAACTCACTGCAACCCTGAACTCCTGGGCTCAGGGACCCCCCCTGCCTCAGCCTCCTGAGCAGCTGGGATTACTTACAGGTGCAGGCTACTGAACCTGGCTAATTAAAAAAATTTTTTTGTAGACACAGGGCCTCACTTTGTTGCCCAGACTAGTTTCTAACTCCTGGGCTTAAGAGATCCTCCCACCTTTGCCTCCCTAAGTGTTGGGATTATGGGCATGAGCCAACTGTACCCAGCATGGAACTTTATTTTTTAAGATAAAATCCAAAATTATACTTTATTTGCTCTTATTAATTATATATATTAACATCTATTCAACTAAAAGCTTTTAAAATGAAAATAGAATAAAAGTATATAAACCTATGGTAAATTTAGATATTAAGTAGCTTCAATAGGCACTATATCAAAAAATAAAAAAACAAAGATAATTATTTGTATACATTAGCTTTTTGGGAAAAAAATTGATGAACAGTCATTTCTTTCTTTCGCTTTTGTTTTTGAGATGGTCTGGCTCTGTCACCCAGGCTAGAGTACAATGGCGCGATCTTGGCTCAAGGCAACCTCTGCCTCCTGGGTTCAAGCGATTCTCCTGTCTCAGCCCCCTGAGTAGCTGGGACTACAGGGGCGCGCCACCGTGCCCAGCTAAGTTTTGTATTTTTAGTAGAGATGGGGTTTCACCATGTTGGCTAGGATGGTCTCGATCTCTTGACCTCAAGATCTGCCCGACTTGGCCTCCCAAAGTGCTGGGAGTACAGGCATGAACCACCGTACCCGGCCTAAACACTCCTTTCTTTAAGAAACAAAGGCACAAAGTGAGTTGAGCAATTTACCTTCTAACTAAATAGTAAAATATCAGCAATACCTTATCATGTCTACTTTGGTCCAGATTGTATCTGGAGAACTATTATTCCAACGTTTCTCCATAATTTTGCATGAAAGCTTGATACTGAAAATCCTCTAAATGACTAGGTAGTCTCTAATGAGGCAAAATTTAAACAACGACCCGCCTGGATGCTAGGCTTTGATAGGAACTACAGACAAAACCAAAAGCACCGGACTGGCCCGTATCACAATCGTCAACCTCACTGAATGCACGCCGGATGGTATCATTTTAGATTTCCTGAAAATTAACATTTCAGTAATGATGATTTTGTTAAGAGAAGAGCTTAACACTCACCAGGTTTAAAGAACAAAGGATCATTTTTAAATAATTTTAGGGATTCAATTGAATTTTCAAACTTTTCTTTCAAATATAATTCGCCTTGTTCAAAATCATTCTTCTTCTTGCCAGGTTTTGAATTCCGGCATTTGGCTTCATTCTCCTGCTCTGTTTTAAATTTAGTCAAGTCATTCTTTTCATTGCTTTTGCCTTCTTTTTCTTGCTCAAATGCAACAGTCTCTTTCATCATCTTCAAGGCTTTATAAGCTTTCTCTTCTTTCACCTTTTTCATGTCCTTTTCATAATGACGAATTCCACTTAAATGGGAAATCAGTAATCTTGTGGTGACAGAAACCTAATTGTAACAACACGAGAATGCAATTACAATATTAAACTGTGCAATAGAAAGTTAGTTGCCCTGGAATCATGTCTCAGTAATATTTTCCATTTTGAGCTGCTGCTGGGAAAAATGTCATGTACAAATCCTTAGCCTAAATTTCAGAAAAATACCTACCTGATGACCATCTGGATTAAAAGAAAAAACTAATAACACTAACAATAACTACAAACGAGCCAAAGAATGCTACGAAACATTTTAAATATAAATTCCAGCATAAACTATTTAACATGCCATTAATAAAATGAACTGTAAGTTTCACTACCTTTTCACCTTCATATTCCTTTTCTGGGAATTCGGGAACATAATGTTGTACTGGAATATCAAGATCCAGCTTCCCTGCTTCCCACAACTTGGCAAGAGCAACCATGGTGAGACTTTTGCTGATGCTGGCAATTCGCATAACTGTCTCAGGTTTACACGGTACACGATTCTCAACATCAGCATAACCTAAACCTTTGGGGGTAAAAAAGCAAAGTCACTATTAACAGGTTTCACGGTCAAACAAGTCTTCAAAACTGAAGTAGTACTACCTTTAAACATCCCGTGTCTTTATCTAAAAGAAATGATACTCCACTTTTATAAGTTACTTAACACTGGACATGTAAAAGATTAAAATCTTAGTATACTGGTAAACCTAACAATGTAACCTTATAATGAAAGTGAAATTGTACCATTTGCAATAGCAATTTTCTATGATTTAGACACACATTTGTCTTAGCTTATCTAAACGACTGATTCCACATTTTAAATATTCTTTAAAGAAAACATCTTTATTCTTTCGATCATATTTATTTTTGACTTTTGAGTAAATTTCCACCAAATTCCTTGAAATAACCACTCAATAAAAGTACGTGTGGGTCAAGCGCAGTGGCTTATGCCTGTACTCCCAGCACTCTGGGGGGGTGAAGCGGGAGGATCACCTGAGGTCGGGATCCAGGTGATCGGACATCTGGCCAACATGGTGAAACCCCGTCTCTATAAAAAATAAAAAAATTAACCGGGTGTGGTGGTGCGTGCCTGTAATCCCAGGTACTGGGATTATCCCAGTAATCCCAGGCTGGGGCAGGAGAATCGCTTGAACCCAGGAGGCGGAGGTTGCGGTGAGCTGAGATCATGCCACTGTACTCCAGCCTGAGTGACAGAGCGAAACTGTCTCAAAAAAAAAAAACATGTGAAAAGATGTCCTGCAGACCAAATCTAGCTGACCCTCAATTTAATTTGGCTGCAAACCAGAAGAAACATTATGTACTAACTTACTTTTTCTAGAAAATATTTAAATTTGGTTTCCATGTTCTACAGGCTGAACGTGTGTAAATCTAATTAAGAAAGAGGAAGTGCCTGTAATCCCAGCACTTTGGGAGGCAAAAGGCAGGTGGATTACTTGAGTTCAGGAGTTCGAAACTAGACTGAACAACATGGCAGAAACCGCATCTCTAAAAATATACAAAAAAAAAAAAAAAGTCTGACATGGTGCAGCGCACCTGTACTCCCAAGCTACTTGGGAGGCTGAGGTGGCAGAATCATTGGAGCCCAAAAATGTTGAGACTGCAGTGAGCCAAAATCACGCCACTGCACTCCAGCCTGGGTGACAGAGTGAGACCTTGTCCAGAAAAGAAGAAGAAGAAAAAAAGAGAGAACCCATATCTAAATAGGAAAAAAAAAAAAGGAATAAATATTAAACATCTAAAAAATATTTGTATAAAGTCCATAAAGCTGACATTTGTATAATTTTTGATTATGAGATTTATCATAAATTAGGTATAATGATTAGCTATACTTATACTTGAAGGAAAAATCATTTTTCTTTTTAAAAAAATTTAAAATGTTTTATAGAGACATAGGTGTCCCTATGGTGCCCAAGCTGGTCTCCAATTTCTGGCCTTCAGAGATCCTCCCTCCCTGGCCTCCCAAAGTTCTGGGATTACAGGTGTGCACCACCTCCACTGGCCCATTTTTCTTTAAATTCAAACCCCTACTGTTCCCATTAACTTCTAAAAGTGTTACTGCCTTTAAATGACATCTGAAACTTTTTTTTTTTTGAGACAGAGTCTTGGTCTGTGGCCCAGACACAGCTCACTGCAACCTTCGCCTTCTGGGTTCAAGTGATTCTCGTGCCTCAGCCTCCCAAGCAGCAAGATTACAGGCACCAGCACGCCTGGCTAATTTTTTGTATTTTTAGTAGAGATGGGGTTTTGCCATGTTTCCCAGGCTGGTCTCAAACTCCTGAGCTCAAGCAATGCCTCCGCCTCTCAAAGTGCTAGGATTACAGGTGTGAGCCACCAAGACTGGCCTGAAACCTCATTTTCTAAAAGTGGTATTCCTAGGAAGCTGGGATGACCCACTGGATCAATTTATGTGCAATGGAGAAGTTATAAAAAAAAATGCTGGCCGGGCGCGGTGGCTCACGTCTGTAATCCCAGCACTTTGGGAGGCCAAGGTGGGTGGATCACGAGGTCAGGAGATCGAGACCATCCTGGTCAACATGGTGAAACCCCGTCTCTACTAAAAAATATACAAAAAATTAGCTGGGCATGGTGGTGCATGCCTGTAATCCCAGCTACTCAGGAGGCTGAGGCAGGAGAATTGCCTGAACCCAGGAGGCGGAGGTTGCCGTGAGCCGAGATCGCGCCATTGCACTCCAGCCTGGGTAACAAGCGCGAAACTCCATCTCAAAAAAAAAAAAAATAAATAAATAAAATAAAATTAAAAAAAAATGCTATCATAAAAGTATCATAAAATGAATAGAAATCCCTCTCCCTAAGTTTCTTGCCTTTTGTTTTAAAAAAAATATTTGACACCTCTGCCTGGTAAAAAGCCTGATAAAGTAGACTGAGAAGTCATTAAAGACAACGGATACCGTATAACCCCAGTACTTAGTACTGCGCCTTTTAAGGACTCAACACATTGTTGAGTTAATTAAAAAAGAAAAATACACAAATTCTGCGTTTTAGCTACCCATAACTGTTACCTACAAGTACTCAGTTAATGGATTGTTCTATACAGTGGTCGCCCCTTATCTGTGGTTTTGCTTTCCTCAGTTCAGTTATCCATGGTCCAAAAATATTACATGGAGAATTCCAGAAACAAACAATTCTAAAGTTTTAAATTGCATGCCACTCAGAGTATTGTTGTGACTTGTATTTCGTTGTTGTTAATCTTCACTATGCCTAATTTGTAAATTAAACTTTATCACAGGTATATATGTATAAAAGAAAACATAGTATATACAGGGTTCCACACTATCCACGTTTTCAGGCATCCATTGAGGGTCTTGGAATATATCCCTAGTATAGGGAGGGACTACTGTATACAACTTTCAGACCAATAAATCCAGTCGTAAGAGAAAAATGGGAGTGGGGAGTAGCAAGCCATCTTTATGACTCCAATTTATTAGTCACATTTTAAACCTTACTGTGATTTAAAAACACCTAATTCTCTATTCTGTTAGATATTCTCTCTGCAATATGCATCGCTTTATGTAAAGGAATAGCATTTCATGGGATTCTCTCCAACCAGTAAAACAATATTTTATTTACCAACTGGTACAGAACAATCTACTAAACAACAATTTTCTGAACCCACCTTCTGACCAGACTTCCTTTCCATCTACAGAAACTCCAACCACTATGCCCGGTGCGCCCACCTCATCCTAAAATCGATGGGGAAAGAACCTACAGTTAGAGACCTGCGGAAAAAGCCCAGCGCTCTTCTCTGGGGCCTTCCAAGTCCTCTCCCTTTCCGTCTGGACTCCGCCCCCTGTACCCAAGCCCCACCCCTCCACCCGGGCCCCGCCCTCTCCACAGGGCCCCGCCCACCTCATCCCAGGCCAGACTCGCTAACAGCAAGGGATGTGCCCTGTCCGCCCCTTGGGGGAAGAGGCAGTCCCCGAGACGGGCGGTGACCTCCGCCCCGATTTGGGGAACCCCTAAGAGCGTCTGACCAAGGCTCAGCGGTGAGGAAATGGGAAGTCTTTCTTGGAAGCCGACTGCCGGCACCCCACTGCCCCGGTGGAGTCCGCTCAGCGCCGGACAGCACCGCCAAGAGGGCCGGGTCCCCGGCCGCCTACGCCCCGCGCCCCAGTGGCCGCACCTTGATCCTGTGCAGCAGGTCGCGGCTGCTCTCGATGGCTCTGGCGAAGCACCTGGAGCCGGGAGGCGCCGGGGTCTGCGGAGACCACGGGGCGAGGGACTGCTCCTGTGGCGGCTCGGCCAGAGGCGATGCCTCGGGGTCGGGAGCCGCGCCCCTCAGCCCACCCGCCAGCTTCACCCCGAGCGCCAGCCCCAGCCCCAGCCCCAGCCCGAGGCCCCCGACCCAGCCGTGCCCAAGCAGCGGCAGCCCGGCGCGCTGATGGACCCCACGTCTTCCGCAGCTCGAGGCCAAGCCCCCGGGGGCAGCAGCCGGGGCAATCACGGCTGACAGGAGCCGGTACATGGCGTCTCCGCACAGCCGGCAGCCTCGGAATTCACGCAGGCCGGGCCGGCTGAGGCGCGGCGGAGAGGGAGGGATAGGGGGCGGGACGAGGGCGGGGACCGCGATCAGACCCTAGCAGTCGACTCCTGAGGACCTGAGCGCCGCTCACATCGAGCTCGTTCTCCTTTGCCTTTCTTGTAGTCTCTTTGCTGTTTTTCCTTTCTTTCGGTCTCCCTTTCCTTTTTTCCCTTTGCTTATCCTCAGATCAAGCGTCACCTCCAAGAACCCTTCCTAGTTCCCATCCCATGGGAGTTCTCGCCCATACCGTCTTGCCCCTCAGTGTGCAAACTTCCCTTAGTAACAGTAAACACTTTGTACCGTTTAACTGCTTGTCAGATTCCCGCCAGACTGGGACTTCTTTGGGGAGCCTACACTTAGTTTTGGATCCTCAGCTTCTGGAACCGCACAGGGCACACAGTAGACGCTTAGCAGACAGCTTCTTTCCCGTTAGAACTCGCTTTTATTCTCTCTCTCTCTCTCGGCATCTCCCTTCTTTATGTCTCATTTCAGTTCCTCCCATTTCCCGAAAGCTCTTTAAAAGCTATTGCTGGCCGGGCGTGGTGGTTCACGCCTGTAATCACAGCGCAGGAGTGTGGATCACTTGAGGTCAGGAGTTCGAGACCAGCCTGTCCAACATGCTGAATCCCCGTCTCCACTAGAAATACGAAAATTACCTGAGTATGGTGGCACACGCTTGTAATCCCAGCTACTTGGGAGGCTGAGGCAGGAGAATTGCATGAACCCGGGAGGCGGAGGTTGCAGTGAGCTGAGATCGTGCCACTGCACTCCAGTCTGGGCAACAGAGCAAGACTCAGTCTCAAAAACAAAAAACAAAAAAACTATTGCTTTTGGAATTCTAGCTCCACACCATACTATAGATACGAAGTTACATTCAGACCTTAAATTGTTTCTGTGCTGTAAAAGATAAAGTGTTTTTTAAAAATTTTGTGTTTGAAAAACTTTAATCCAAATGTAACTCTTGTAATTTACAATTAGCTATGATTTCTCAGCATCTGTAAATGATCAGACATTCTTGTGAAATAAGAAACCCAATCTCGGCCGGGTACGGTGACTCAAGCCTGTAATCCCAGCACTTTGGGAGGCCGAGGCGAGTGGATCACAAGGTCAAGAGATCGAGACCATCTTGGTCAACATGGTGAAACCCCGTCTCTACTAAAAATACAAAAAATTAGCTGGGCATGGTGGTGCGCGCCTGAAGTCCCAGCTACACAGGAGGCTGAGGCTGGAGAATTGCCTGAACCCAGGAGGCGGAGGTTGCGGTGAGCCGAGATCGCGCCATTGCGCTCCAGCCTGGGTAACAAGAGCGAAACTCCGTCGCAAAACAAAAAACAAAACAAAAAAAAAACCCAATCTCAAATTGCTACAAAATGTAAAATGTGTATAAAAATCCTAGTTTAGGCTGGGCTCGGTGGCTCACGCCTGTAATCCCAGCACTTTGGGAGGCCGAGGCGGGGGGATCACTAGGTCAAGAGATCGAGACCATCCTGGTCAACATGGTGAAACCTCGTCTCTATTAAAAATACAAAAAATTAGCTGGGCATGGTGGCGCGTGCCTGTAATCCCAACTACTCGGGAGGCTGAGGCAGGAGAATTGCCTGAACCCAGGAGGCGGAGGTTGCAGTGAGCCGAGATTGTGCTATTGCACTCCAGCCTGGATAACAAGAGCGAAACTCCATCTCAAAAAAAAAAAAAAAAAAAAAAAAAATCCTAGTTTAACATGTAATGAAATTGATATGTTAATTTAGAAGTTACTTAAACATTTATCAGTTTTGCAATTTTTATATTTTAGCATCCATACACACACACACACACACACGATCGTTGGAAGCTTGTAGGCTTTAGACTTTCCGCATTGGGGCAATATAAGGGGCTCCATATATAAAATGGCCCTGTCTTTTCTTGCAGGTAGAATAAAGAAGAGAGCTCACAGACTTGAACTGACAAACCATCAAGAGAAAAAGCTGTAAACATACTGAGGTAATAATTATTTAATAGGAGGAAAAGGCAATAATGGTATACACACCTAGTGAGAAGATAGTGGGGCTAAATAAGTAAAGCTTCTGGGGCTACTCACTGAAACTGTAGTTATAGTGGACAGATGTACTCTATTAACATAGCATTAGAGGTTCACATGGTGGGGATCACCACTACTCCAAGAACATGACAGAGAGAAAAATATAGAGAAAAATGTAAACGACAAAGTCAGTGACAGTTACGAGTACCCACTTTAAACAGTATGTAATTTTATTTAAATTGTGCATATGTTACTGAAACACCAAGGGTTTAATCTAGGTTCCATTGCTCGCCACACAGAAAGCCAATCACCAAAGCAATGAGAATTGCCAGGGAAAAAGCTTTTTCAGGTGCTGCAGCCAGGGAAAAGGGAGATTGGTCTCAACTCCATCTCCTCAACTAACTAAAATTAGGGGTTTATATGGCAAGGAAGAAATGTAACTATGTCTGGGGAAACAGGAAATAGGGAGGGATAAGGAAGAAGAATTGTTCAACAGGAAGTGGGTGGGTGGTTAGGCCAGGGGTCCCCAATCCCTGGGCCATGGACCAGTTAGGAACTGGGTCATACAACAGGAGGTGAGTGGCAGGTGAGGGAGCATTACTGCTTGAGCGCCATCTCCTGTCAGATCAGTCAGGAGCTCGAACCCTATTGTGTATGGTGCACGAGGGATCTAGCTTGCATGCTGCTTACAAGAATCTAACTAATGCCTGATGATCTGAAGTGGAGCAGTTTCATCCCGAAACCATACTCATCAGCCCCCAACCCCACACCCCATGGAAAAATGTTCTTCTATGAAACTGGTCCCTGGTGCCAAAAAGGCTGGGGACCACTGGTTTAGGCAAGCATGACAGGTGAGGGATCTGGTGTCTCATTGTCCTGATGTGCTGATCTGGTAAGTTTCAGTTTCTTGATACTATCTGGGAGGCCTGATGGTTGGTTTCCTCTAAAGGGAACTCAGATAAGACAAATGTAAGTTTGCCAAGTTTTAAGACTGGGCAGGTCAATTTCTACGTTTATTCAAAATAACCCATAAACATAGTCTATGGGACAATTGAACTGGTTTCACATACGTGTTTTTTGCACTCTTCTGTACCTCTCCTTGGATTAAAAAATAAAAAAAGAAACAGAGCCCTGGGTTTGCCATGTACAGGGCAAAAGCCAATGTCGTGGCGGACTTTCAGTTGAGAAGCAGGTATAGAGAGGCCACTTGAAGTATGGCTTCCGGGAAGTGTTGGCCTAAAAGGAAGAGGCTGAGGCACAAAATATAATTTAAAGGGTTTTCTTCAGCCAAAGTGAGGACAGCTGCCTTGAAGACTGAGGCCCAAGTAAATTTAGAATAAACTCCGCCTTAGGCTTTTGTTACAAGCAGGTTTTAAAAGGCAAGTAAAGCAGGACAGGGAATGGGCCAATACAAATTTGTTTGTCAGGAATCCCCATTGGTTTACGGAAATAACAGTGATTGGCTATACATTGCTTTTTTTTTTTGAGACGGAGTTTCGCTCTTGTTACCCAGGCTGGAGTGCAATGGCGCGATCTCAGCTCACCGCAACCTCCACCTCCTGGGTTCAGGCAATTCTCCTGCCTCAGCCTCCTGAGTAGGTGGGATTACAGGCATGCGCCACCATGCCCAGCTAATTTTTTGTATTTTTAGTAGAGACGGGGTTTCACCATGTTGACCAGGATGGTCTCGATCTCTTGACCCCATGATCCACCCACCTCGGCCTCCCAAAGTGCTGGGATTACAGGCGTGAGCCACCGCGCCTGGACTGGCTGTATATTGTTAAGCAGTGGAGTATGGGTTCTAGCAACTGGTGCCACATTATTAGGTTAATTTATGACTACTTGTGGCAACAGCAAGCAGTTTCAAGAGATGAATACATAAGTTCCTGGGGAGGAGGGGCAGGACATGATTGCCAGCCATCGCATTTTTTTTTCTTTTTTGGGAGACAGGGTCTCACTGTTGCCCTGGCTGGAGCGCAGTGGTGCGATTATCACTCGTTGCAGCCTCAGCCTCCCAGGTTCAGGTGATCCTTTCACTTCAGCCTCCTGAGTAGCTAGGACCACAGGCATGCACCACCACACGTGACTAATTTTGTATTTTCTGTAGAGATAGGGTTTTGCCATGTTGCCCAGGTTGGTCTCAAACTCCTGGGCTTAAGCGACCCTCCCCTGTCAACCTTCCAAAGTGCTGGGATTACAGGTGCGAGCCACAGTACCCAGCCACCATCTCTTTTTAATGTCTCTCTGGGCCTGATAATTTGAAAGGACTTGCATTCTTCAGATTAAAGTTATTTTCTTTACTCAGAAGGTAAGAGAAAATAAATGTTCTCCAGCAAGCCAAGTGCCAGAAGGCAGCCTGACCAAGCAGCCTGCAGACTTGTTGGCAGGATCTTTACGAGAGCTCTAGGGCAGGAGCCCAGAGCCCCAGCATTGGAGCTGGCTTTAGGGTGGGAGCCACAGAGACAGGAGAGAAGAGAGGTAAACCACTCCACATGGAAAAGAATGGGAAGACAGACAAAAAGAGAGGAAAAGGGAGAAAGAAATAAACTTTCCACTAAAAATAAATCTGCAAACCAAATTTCCAAAACATATTTTTAAAACTTTTCTAAAAAACACTGACAATAACATCGACAACCAAAACATGAAATTGCCCCAAACAAAATAAAACCAGTAGAAGAATATACAGGAAAAGAGGGCTTTCCCTGCCTAAGAAAAAGATGGGTGATAGAAAATAAAAGAAATATATGTATTTCAAAGAATCCTTAAGAAGAGAAATGGATGTGATTCACAAAAAGGAATTGTGAAACAAAAATAGGAATAAATGAAACAAAACCATACGCAAATGGAAAAGCACTTATCAGAATTGGTGGAAATAAAAGATCATGAGAGACCTTTAAGAGCATCTCTTCTGAAGCTGGCGGCTGCAATTTTGGTGGACTGCCGTAACTGAGTCCAAAGCTTGTACTGCTCACCACACAACAGCCCATCAGTCAAGAGATGGGGATTGGAGCAGGGAAGACGACTTTATTTCTGGGGAGCCAGCAAACCAAGATGGCAGACTACTGTCCTAAAGAACCATCTTAAATAAATGTGGATTTTGGGCTCCTTTTATGTTGGGTGGGGGGAAATGGGAAGAGGTTTAGGTCAAAAAGTGACCAATGACCACAGACATCTGGGTGGCAGTGAGGGTAAGCTTCTTTGTCCTTGTCAAGTCACAATGCTCCTATAAATTTTTAACATAACATTGTTACTTATGTGTATACCCACCTTATCTCCTTGCGGGTTAGTTTTGGGGAGGGACTAATCATCCTTGTTTTAAAGTTAAACTATAGGCTGGGCATGGTGGCTCATACCTGTAATCCCGGGAATTTGGGAGGCCAAGGTGGAAGAATTGCTTCAGCCCAGGAAGGAGTTTGAGACCAGCCCTGGAAACATACTGAGACCTATTTTCCACAGAAAATTTTTTAAAAATTAGCTGGGCATGGTGGCCTGTGACTACCAGCTACTTAGGAGGCTGAGGTGGAGGATTGTTTGAGCCTGGGAGGTCGAGGCTGCAGTGAGCTGTGATCATGCCAATAAACTCCAGCCTGGGTGACAGACTGAGACCCTGTCTCAGAAAAAGAAAGCAAAATACCGAGTGGGACTGGACCTCAGACAGAAACCACTGTTACACCAGTGGAAACTTTTCTCCAACAACTCAGAATATAGTCCCAGCCCTCCTGGAACTTGCAGTCTATAGTGTAAGATAGTCATGATACACAGAAAGGCACGATTAAATATAAAATCCCAGTTGTAATGAGTGCTGGGAAGGAGAAGTGAATAGTGTGTTGAGAGGTTGTAATATGAGATGTGATTTGGTCTGGAAGATCAAGGAAGACTTTCCTAATGAAATGAAATTACATCTAAGACTTTGAGGATAAACAGGAATTACCCTGGTTAAGTATGGGCAGAAAGAGAAAGGAAGTGTTCCATGCAGAGGAATTAGCAAATGCTAAGCCCCTGTGGTGGGAAGAGGCATTTTCATGCAAGGAATTAAAAGATAGTCATGGTGCGGTGACTTATGCCCATAATCCCAGAACTTTGGGAGGCCGAAGCAGGCAGATCACCCGAGGTAAGGAGTTCAAGACCAGCCTGGGCAGCATGGTGAAACTCCATCTCTACTAAAAATACAAAACTTAGCCAGGCATGGTGGCATACATCTGTAGTACCAGCTACTACGGAGGCTGAAGCAGGAGAATCACTTGGACCTGGGAGGCAGAGGTTGCAGTGAGCTGAGATTGCACCATTGCATTCCAGCCTAGGCAACAGTTAGACTATCAAAAAAAAAAAAAAAAAAGTCGTGGTGAGACATGAGGCTGAGGACTGACCATCCAGTACATTATCTCCTTCTGCTGCTATTTCTTTATAGAAGGAATGCTCTTCTAGCCACAAGTCCTGTCCTATTATATTTCATATAGTGTATACTATTAACAAGCTAAAAAAGAACAATCACGTGATCATATCAACTTATGCAGACATATCAGTCATTAGGCAAAACACATTCATGACCGATAAAACCCTCAGAAAAATAGGAATAGAGAAAAACGTCTTCAACTTGGTTAAGAATATCTCCAAAAAGTCTACTGCTAACATTATGTTTAATGGGGAAGACATACGAGGCAAGTATGTCCCCTCTCGTCATTCTTATTCAACAAGGTGCTAGAAATGATAGAGAATGCAGTAAGTCAAGAAAGAAAATTAAAAGCATACAGATCAAAAAGAAAGAGAGAAAACTGTCATTTGCAGATGACATGATTGCCAGTGTAAAAAGTCTTAAAGGAGCTGGCCGCAGGGGAAATAATACTTGTAATCCCAGCACTTTGAAAGGCCCAAGTAGGCAGATGGCTTGAGGCCAGGAGTTCGAGACCAGCTTGGCCAATATGGCAAAACCCCGTCTCTACTAAAAATACACAATGTAGCCGGCATGATGGTGCATGCCTGGAGTCCCAGCTACTTAAGCGATTTTCATGATGAAAATAGCTTGAATCCAGGAGGCAGAAGTTGCGGTGAGCAACTTCTCACGGTCATCAGGGAATTTTTAGCACATGGGAAGTGGAGCCAATCCTGCAGACCCCTCTACCTCCTGTCCCTCCAGATCGGCAGAGTCTGCAATACCTGTCCATATGTCACTCCAGGGGTCTGTGTTCTCCTGCACTAGCCATAGGGCCTGAGGGCGTCTGCACTACACTGATGAGTAAATTGTGCAGCAGAAGGGATCCCAAAGAGGGCCTTTCAGCCAGGTAAACGATCCTGCAGCCTTAGTCACAATGAGCCCCAGACAGATTTACCTCCTGGGAATGTGAGAAAGGATTCTTTTTTTTTTTTTTTTTTTGAGTTGGAATCTTGCTCTGTCGCCCAGGCTGGACGAGAGTGGCACGATCCTGGCTCACTGCAAACTGCCTCCCATGTTCAAGCAATTCTCCTGCAGACTCCTGGGATCATTTCCCACAAACTATCTGAACTGGAATCCTTGTCTCAGGTTCTACTGTGGGGAAGCCCCAACGAAGACAGCAGGCCACTGGGACTATGATGGGTAAAGTCACTGACTTGTAGCTCGGAGGCTAATGGAACACAGGACCACCATGGGGCTTATAACACAAAAGAGGAAGTAGCTGAAAGAGATGAGCATGGTGACACGGGGGTGTGCAGGAAGGAGCAACCTTGATTGGAAGCCTACCCTAGGCCTGACCCTATGTCTGAGATTAGGTACATATTATCTGTATCAATCCTTACAGAACTATATGTTGGGGAGGGGTCACCTCCATTTCACAGGTTGAAGGAAGTTAAGTAACTCATTCATAATCACACAACTTGTAAGTGAAATAGAAAGGGGATATGAACCAGGCCTCCCTGGTACCAACGTCTATGCTCTGTTCCCAAGAGCTCACCTAACATCCCACACATCATGCGTGATCAGTGACCAGTCGGTGTGGTTTTCATGAGGAAGAGCCAGCAGTTTCTCAGGCTAGGCCAGGCTTCCCAGGGTGGAAGGAGCTTAGAGAGGTGGAGGTCAGCCATACAGGAACTCAGCTCACTGGATCCAGAAACTTGATCTGGCCACCCCCTGGCAGTGATCTGGCTCAGGGGACTGAATAACAGCCACCAGACTCTCCGGAGACTCATAAATGATCCGGGCACTCATCTGTTGACCAGATACTTATGCTTGTTAGTATATTAGTTTTCTGTTGATGATGTAACAAAGGACCACAAACTCAGTGGCTTCAAACAATACATATGTATTATCTTATCGTTCTGGCAGTCAGAAATCTGAAATCAGTTTCATTGGTCTAAAATGAAGGTGTGGGCAGGGCTGCGTTCCTTCTGAAAGCTCTAGGGGAGAATCAATTTCATTGCCTTTTCCAGATTCTAGAGACCACCCTCATTCCTTAGCCCCTTCATCTGCCGTCAAAGCCAGCAGCATAGCAGCTTCCAGCCTCTCTGACCCCTGGACCGTGGCTCCTTCTTGTGACATTTGGTGCAGCTGGATGATCCCGGAGAATCTCCTTATTACAAGGTTCTTCGTTTAATCACATCCACAAGGTTCCTTTTGCCCATAAAGTAACATATTCACAGGTTCCAGGGGTGAAGACATGGACATTTTAAGGGAACCATTAGTCAGCCTGTCTCCTTTGCTCAGTGTTTTTTTTTTTAATTCCCACAGCAAAATCATAGTTAAACCAGCCTATGAGTAGAGGCTGCTGATAAACCTGAAACCAGAGTAGGGGTATGTACCATCTCCATGGACAGGTAGGTCATCGCCTGGCCGCGAATCAGCTGGGCCCCAGTCTGACATCCAATCAATAAGGGGTGGAAACTTCTGACACTCGGGCTTCCCTTCTTGCAGACACTGTAGACTTTTGACAGGTGGACTCCAGTGCTGATTGTCAGGTACTGCTCTACTTACTCCCAACTCTCCATCTCTGACACAGTTATAACTCATCTTTTAGGGTTGCTCGATGGGACCTGTCTCATCCGGGGTTCTCGTTAATCGTTGCCCATTAACCTCTCTGACAGATCGTGTTACAAACCAGTTCCCAGCGACAGCATTTGAGCTAGTCTTACCCAGGACCTCACAGCATTTGAGCCAGTCTTACCCAGGACCTCACAGCTCTCTGCCCTTCTCTCCCTACCTCTCTGACTTATGGCCACACACCCCAGGTTCCAAAGTCTGCTCTGCCCTTCCCTTGTCTTTTTGACAATTTGTTAGGACTTTCCTTTCTGGATTCTGTGTAGAATAATCTCATCCATTATGTGTTGAGTTTTATGAGTAAACTTGTCTGAAAATTTAAATACCCTCTTCATGTCTACCTTTTTTAAAAAAAACTCTCTCAATTTTCTGTGTTAGGCAATATCTGTCTTTATGAAAATCATTCTCTAAGTATTCTGCAAGAATGTTTATGCACCAGGCTCTGGGTAAGGCTCAGAGAGCCTAGAGGCTAGTAGAGAAAATGAATTTTTATCAAATCATCACATTCACACGTGTAATTACAAATGAAGATTAATTGTGCTTACCAAAGAAGCATGGTTAATGAAAATTTAAAACAGAGACCTGCCCCAGATTGGGGGTCCTCAAGGGAAACTTCTTTATGGAAGTGCCATTTGAACTGTGATCATCAGATAGGTGACAGGGAGAAGTGGGGAAGCTGGGAGGTGACTGTGGCGGCTGCAAGCAGGGACAGACAAATGGGGAGAAAAGGTCAAGAGGCAGTTGCAGAGGCAGGCAGAGGCCAAGGCGAGGGTTTGAGTTTTAGCCTAAGAGCAAAGATTTTCAGCAAGGAGAGGGTGGGGACAGCATCAGGTGTCCTGAAACCATCTTCCTGTAGCATGGTGAACAGCTTTTATGGGGAGTGAGAAGACAGAATTGGTGTAGGGGGAGCAGTTAGGAGGTTCTTTCAGTAACAGAGGTGACACATGAAGGCGACCTGGCTGGGATGGTAGGAATAGAGAAGAAGAGGAGTGGTTGGCTTCTCAGAGGTAGTTTGGAAGTAAAAATCTATCAGGAGATGGTGACAGTTTGAATATGAGGCAAGAGAGTGGAAAGTGTTGAAGATGAAACCAAGCTTCATAGCATCTGTAAGTTACCATTAACTCGCCTGATGTTTACATTTAACTGCAATGAAACTTTTTTTTTTTTTTTTCTTGAGACAGTGTCTCTCTCTGTTGCCCAGGCTGGAGTGCAGTGGTGTGATCTTGGCTCACTGCAACCTCTGCCTCCCAAGTAGCTGGGACTACAGGCATGTACCACCATGCCCAGCTAATTTTTGTATTTTTAGTAGAGGCAGAGTTTCACCATGTTGGCCGGGCTGGTCTTGAACTCCCGACCTCAAGTGATCCCCCCTCCTCAGCCTCCCAAAATGCTGGGATTACAGGCCTGAGCCAGTGCACCTCATTTGCAATGAAACTTTTTATTTTTTTTGAGATGGCATTTTGCTCTTGTTGCCCATGCTGGAGTGCAATGGCACAATCTTGGCTCACAGCAACCTCCGCCTCCTGGGTTCAAGTGATTCTCCTGCCTCGCCTCCGGAGTAGCTGGGATTACAGGAGCACGCCATCATGCCCAACTAATTTCATATTTTTAGTAGACAGGGTTTCTCCATGTTGGTCAGGCTGGTCTCAAACTTCCAACCTCGGGTGATCTGCCCACCTCGGCCTCCCAAAGTGCTGGGATTACAGGCATGAGCCACTGTGCCTGGTCTGCAATGAAACATTTTTGAAAGGAGGAAATGCTAGCTCCGTGTGTATTTTGTAACAGGTCTAATGAAAACAGCTGCCTTCAGTGTGAGGGGGTCGCTCCCTCCCTTTGAGCCTCAGACATGACTGTGCTGGTGGCTTCCGGGAGAAGTTTACATATCTAAGTTCAAGTACGTAGGTGGCCACCATGGTTGATGCTTTTATCATCAGACTCCCCCTAACATTCTTTGCAGCGGGGAGAGGGACTATCTCTAAAACCAAACCACCATCATGAAGGGGCCGACCTTAGAATGAGAGGCTCACTTTTGGAGACTTATATTTGGAGAATTCTGGGAATCCAACCCCAAGAATGCTGGCCCCTTGCCCCACTTGTGACAGTCGTTTGAACTTCAGGACTTGGCAGTCTGTCAAACCAAATAACTCTGGGTGCAAAAGTCAACAGAATCCAGAACAATCTCTGCCTCATTGCTGCAGGCTGGAAATCTCTAACAGGCGTGTCTTGGAATCCTTGCCCTTTTTCCCCTTTCAGTTAGAACAGATTCTCTGGTATAAGAATCTGCAGGAACATTTTTTCCCAACATTGTTTTTTAATCTTTTCTTTTCTTTCTTTCCTTCTTTCCTTCTTTTTCTTTCTTTCTTTCTTTCTTTCTTTCTTTCTTTCTTTCTTTCTTTCTTTCTTTCTTTCTTTCTTTCCTCTTTCTTTCTTTCCTCTTTCTCTTTCTCTCTTTCTCTCTCTCTCTCTCTCTCTCTCTCTCTCTCTCTCTCTCTCTCTCCCCCTCCCCACCCCTCTCTCTTTCTTTCTTTCTTTTTTTTGAGACAGAGTCTCACTTTATTTCCCAGGCTGGAGTGCAGTGGCACAATCTTAGCTCACTGCAACTTCTGCCTTCTGGGTTCAAGTGATTCTCATGCCTCAGCCTCCTTAGTAGCTGGGATCACAGGCACGCGCCACCTCACCCAACTACTTTTTGTATTTTTAGTAGAGACAGGGTTTCACCATGTTGGCCAGGTTGGTCTTGAACTCCTGACCTCAAGTGATACCCCGCCTTGGCCTCCTAAAGTTCTGGGATTACAGGCGTGAGCCACTGTGCCTGGCCACAACATGATTTTTTTGAGAAAGAATTTTCAAGATTTCACATTTCAGTCTCTAGGCCTAAGTATCCTGGTGGCATCACTTGGATGTTTAATTAAAGTCACCTGTGACTGGTGGTGGTGGTTCACGCCAGTAATCGAGCACTTTGGGAGGCCGAGGCAGGTGGATCACTTGAGGCCAGGAGTTTGAGACCAGCCTGGCCAACATGGCAAAACCCCATCTCTACTAAAAATACAAAAAGTAGCTGGGTGTGGTGTCATATGCCTGTAATCCCAGCTACTTGGTGGCTGAGGCATGAGAATTGCTTGAACCTGGAAGGTGGAGGTTACAGAGAGCTGAGATCCTGCTACTGCACTCCAGTGTGGGCAACAAGCAAGACCCTATCTCAAAAAAAAAGGTGCTTGTTAAAGTGAGTGGACCCCTTTGGAACATTCAGTCAGATTCTGCTACCTAAAGGCTAGAAACCTGGCTTCCCAGCACACAGTAGGGGAGAGAAGTGTATACTTAAGGATGAGGCTGAAGGCTCTTGGACAGGGAGCCTGGCTAGTGTGCTCCAAATACACCATTACTTTTGTTCAATTACACATTAGGAGAAGGGGAAAGAATGAGGAAAGCAAATTAATGCTTAATCACTGTTAATACCCAATGCACTTCTAAGGAAGGCCCCTGTGCCTCACTGTGGAGCTCCACATATGCCTGTGTGGTGACCCCAACCACACCTCTGATGTCATAATTAACGTTTAGAATTCTCCACCTTGGTTGCATTTTGCATGATGGATGGGGTTGAGGGGGTGGGGGTGTTAAAAAAAATATTAGCACTTTCGGAGGCTGAGGCCACCAGATCACCTGAGGTTGGGAGTTCAAGACCTGGCTAATATGGCGAAACCTCATCTCTACTAAAAATACAAAAATCCAGTCCGGCGTGGTGGCACACACCTGTAATCCCATCTACTTGGGAAGCTGAGGCACAAGAATCACTTGGATCTAGGAGGCAGAGGTTGCAGTGAGCCAAGATTGCACCACTACACTCCAGCCTGGGCAACAGAGCAAGACTGTCTCAAAAAAAAAAAGACGATGTCATGGTAATGATTTTGTTCATTACTGTCAGATATGTGAGTCACCCCAATCTTACCTGCTGGCCTAAAGGCAAGCAACTGCCACTTCAGTTCTACTCTGTCACGTGCCACACTTGCCCAGCACATACTTTCTTTCGTCCCCGGCTAAGACACTGGCTGGTCTTTCGTCCCCAGCTAAGACGCTGGCTGGTCCTCATGCCCTATCTTAGCACTGAACTGTGCTATTGAAGAATATGGACACTCAGTTACCTTCTGGCTCTCTCATCTCTGGCTTCCTTCAATTCCGGCCTCTAGGAACCAGATCCTGACTCTGGCTGGCTTGGTGACTGCACCTCCCACTGGGGGTTGTGGATCCCAGCTACTGGGGAGGCTGAGGCAGGAGAAACACTTGAACCCTGGAGGTGGAGGTTGTGGTGAGCTGAGATCGCACCACTGCACTCCAGCTTGGGCAACAAGTACGAAACTCTGTCTCTGAAAAAAGAAAAAAAAAGATATTTAGATTCTCATCAGCAGTTTGGGAAGTAGGAACTAGCACTACCCCCATTTTGCAGTCACAAATATGAATGCCCAGAAAGGTTAAGTGTGATTCAGGCCGAGAGTGGTGGCTCAGGTCTGTATTCTGAGCGCTTTGGGAGACCGAGGTGGGAGGATCACTTGAGGCCAGGAGTTTAAGACCGGCCTGGGCAGCACAGCAAGACCCCATCTCTATTTAAAAAAAAAAAGAAAAGAAAGAAAGATTAAGTGATTCATATACAACCATGTAGCTGTGGATTCTGTCATCCAAAGAATCCATTATTTGAAACAGCAAAGTAGGCCGGGCGTGGGGGCTCATGCCTATAATCCCAGCACTTTGGGAGGCTGAGGCGGGCGTATCACGAGGTCAAGAGATCGAGACCATCCTGGCCAACATGGAGAAACCCCATCTCTACTAAAAAATGCAAAAATTAGCTGGGCATGGTGGCGCATGCCTGTAGTCCCAGCTACTCGGGAGGCTGAGGCAGGTGAATTGCTTGAACCCAGGAGGCGGAGATTGCAGTGAGCTGAGATTGGGCCACTGCACTCCAGCCTGGCGCCTGGTGACAGAGCAAGAATCTGTCTAAAAAAAAAAAAAAGACAGCAAAAATTATCACCCATTTTCTTGGGTGACTTGAGAATTTACATGGCAAGGATTAAAGGGACATGGAGGCAAGATTAGTGAGGACAGCGTAAATCAGGCGCAGGCATTGGAAGCCAGCTGAATAAAGTGTGGGCAGTAAAGGCTGCTCCAGTATTTGCTATTCATCATCTTGGGCTGCCATAACAAAATACCACAGACTTGGGTGGCTTAAAGAATAGAAATTTATCTTTTCACGGTTCTGGAGGCTTGAAGTCTGAGACGAGGGTGTCAGCGTGGTCCGCTTCCATGAGGGCTCTCTTCCAGGCTTGCACACAGCCTCGCTGTATCCTCGTATGGCAGAGGCAGGGAGACGGAGGAGGAGAAAACAGAGGGGAGAGGATTTTCTGTGCAAACCAGAGTGGTCCCTGTGTCTTTTCTTACAAGAACTCTAATCCCATCATACAGGGGTTCACCCTGAGGGACTCATTTGACCTTATCTCCTGATACTAGTCACCCTGAGAATAATATATGCATTTTAACACAGGAATTTGGGAGGACATAATTAAGTCCGTAGCATGTTTCTAGAGATATCATTAATTCTCAGAGTTGGAAAAGAACACAAAGATCATTTTATATTTCTTTACTTTTTTGTGTGGTGGAGACGGGGGTCTTGCTATATTGCCCAGGCTGGCCTAGAACTCCTAGGCTCAAGTGATCTTCCCGCCTCAGCTTCCTGAGTGAAGAGATCATCTTTTTATTTGCACATTCCTTCTCAGTAACTCACTTCTCTGCTCAGCTTCCTTTCCTTGGGCAGGCATTGAGGGGAGGCTTTCTGCTAGATTCTAGCCTGGGGCTCTGAAAACAGTTATCCAAACAGACTTTAATTGTTCCCTTCTAAGGCCTTTCTTGCCTTTGAGTTGGTTATTCATGAAAATGCCTCAGGGATTCCCAGAGAAAGCCCCCCAAGTTCTAAGGTGCTGGCTTTCACTCTGGATTCAATGCTCACTCAGCCCCTCTGTCTATCTTCAGGAAAGGCAGAAGCTACTTATTCCCAGAGCCATTTTACCCTTTAGGTGAAGAGGATCCCAAATACAGGTCTGAAGACTCATCCCAGTGATAGTGATGGCCTCCAAAGCATCCTCCACGGTATGAGACCGAAGGTTTAGCTTCTCGCTGAAAGACTGTAACTT